TTAATAATGAGGATAGGGTAGAAATGATCAAAGGGGGGCAAAAATGACATTAAACCACATCGAGATGCACCAGCATTCCCCATAAAAGTAACCGAGTGGCCTCTTTTTCTTTGAGAAAATCAGACTCTTAAATCTCACATCCAACTACGTACAAGAACCAAAAGTTCGAATCAAATCGAAGATGTCGTGGCAATCATACATTGATGATCACTTGATGGCGGAGATCGAGGGTAATCAGCTCACCGCCGCGGCCATCCTCGGCCATGACGGCAGTGTCTGGGCTCAGAGCACTACCTTCCCTCAGGTCTTTAATTTTTTTTTTACAGTTTTTAAAGCTGCGTGTAGTTTTCGTTTTCCAATTCGATTTTAGATCTTCTGAGTTCTTATAATGTTCCGGATTGTAAGAATGCTGAAGACGTGATCTGATCTGATTTTGGATAGCCATTACGTCAATTATTTGTTTGTATTTTATTAAAGTTATTTTTTACGTTGATTTATAATTTAGATTGAGCCTTTCATCTTTGATATAGCTTTCTGATTAATTTTATTTTGTAGCATGATTAATGTTTAATTGTAATTAGATTTGTCTGATTTCGGATACCGATTAAATCAGTTATTTGTATGTATTTAAAGGCCATTTATTTCTATGCATACCTTACTTACCAATATATAATATTTATTCCTCTCAGCTTTCAAAAATGTCAAAATATTTTCTCTATGGGGCATGAAAATGAAGATATTTATTGAGTTTGACTGTAGAAGCTCTTTGTTGATTAGTGTTTTTTATCAGTATTATTTATAACAGTTTAGAAAGTGTGATACCGCAGCCAATATTATGATATAGTGGATCAGAATATATTCAACATAAGATGGGTGGAAATTAATAAGAGTAGTAATTTTGTTGATGGAAGTAGAAGGACGTAAATAATACAATAAAAGCATATAGTTTTCAAATTGCTCTAGTAATTTTTTTCTGGAATAAGTTTTCTCCATGTTTTATGGGTGAACTAAAATTCTTTCCTCTTTTTGATTAATTCTGGTGTAGTTCAAGCCTGACGAAATCAGTGCTATCATGAATGACTTTGAAAATCCTGGTTTACTTGCTCCTACTGGCTTGTACCTTGGTGGTACCAAATACATGGTAATTCAAGGTGAGCCCGGGGTTGTCATCCGAGGGAAGAAGGTATATTTTCGTCTCCTTTTCTGCTTCAATTTATGACTTGTGAATACGTTTCTAGTTGTTGCTAGAGTTTGTAAATTTAGCTGTGGATAAATGTGGCTTTAGCGTTCGATTGACCAGATGAGTTCTGATGAAATTGGATTTTGAGACTGGCTGCTAAGGATTGAAAATGAGGCACAGGTCCTCAGTATATCAACTAGGGCATTTTTCTTCTATTTATATATGTCTCCATGTTCGTGCGTGCCCGCAAACCTTTATGTGTGGTGAAAAGACGATTTAACCCTCTGGACAACTTCTTATGATTATTTTTCTCTCTTCAGGGACCTGGTGGAGTTACAGTAAAAAAGACCACTATGGCCTTAATCATTGGCATCTATGATGAGCCTATGACTCCAGGCCAGTGCAACATGGTTGTTGAAAAGATTGGCGATTACCTTATTGATCAGGGTCTTTGATTGTTTTGGTACGTACTACATTTTTTTCACCTTTTTTTTCTTGAAATGAGAGAACTTTACCAACTATACCACCTTGAGTTAATTGTATGCTCTGGGAGTGTTTTGCAGTGAAACCTGATACAAGTACCTGATGTTGCTTTGGGTCTTGGTCATGAAAAATAGTCTGGTGTTTTGAGAAGTGATAGATAGTGATCTGTTCCTGAATTGAACAAGATTTGTCTTTGCATTTTCTGCTTATGAAAATTGTTATCATGATTTCATGTGAATAAATTATGTATTTTTGAATTTTTTATGTGTATTTGGATTTGCAAGTATAGTACCTGGCTTTCACGATCAGCATATTAGTGGTTTTTTTCCCCTGTACATTTACACATGCCTTCTGTTATGATGTCTGCTGAAGCCTCCTCTAACTAGGAGCTGCATAGGTGTAGTCACATGTGGCATGAATGAATTCTAAAAAGAATCAAGTTCGAATCATGATCTGATTTTATGCTTTTAGATGAATTCGAGAGTTAGGTAGCTTTTAAATCCATCGCCAAATTTCAGGGTTCAACCTTGGGCAAGCAAGGAAAACTACTCTGATGGGCATGATTCATGTAACAAATGTGAAAAAGTTTCCTTTCATTAGGGGCCTAGCCGAAAGTTACCAGGATCATGCAAGACACATCTCTTTTTGGCTACTGAAATGAACTTTTATCCCTTGTCATTGGCTTTGTTGTTTCTTTCGTAGAAAGTTCTTTCTCCAAAGAAATTTCCCAGTCAAACTTGATAAGGGATGTTGAGTACATTATCTAACATTCTTTCTAATATCTATTTGGCGAAATAGGTCTAGTTCAATTTCTTGACTAGGATCTGGATGATTAGTTCGCCTGGTTCTAATGGCACCCCAATGTTCGGTCAGAAAATATGCAATGAGAAAGTTGTTCAGTTTGCTCGTTCCTCCTAGAGTTAATCTTTTAACTCTTTTTCTTGGCCATGATTTATCTGGTTACCTAATTGTTCTTGCTATCTTACTCCCCCGATAGTTTGCTCCCTATCCCTAACTTTTCCATCATGATGCTCCCCTCGAGTTCGATTTCGAGGGTTTCACTCTTACAGGTAAAGTTACAACACCGATGCAAAAGGGGCCTTCTAGAACTGATCTTCTCACAATCTGGCCATGAAGAGATTAGGTGAAGTAGGACTTGTCTAAAAGAATGTCACGTCTTTATTGACAAAATACTTGTGGGACAGAGGATAACGGCATTTATAACCCTTTCATGTTAGCAAATAAGGAAGGAAGATGCATTTCATGTACTTGCCATGTAATTTTAAGCGTATTGCCCTTGTGTGAAAGAGATGCAACATTTGCTTACGTTCAATTGTGTTAACCACCCAACTCGTCACAATAGAATTTTCAAGTGCACAAATCGTAAAAATACATTATTCGACAAAAAAAAATAATCACAAAAATGCTAGTGCTAAAGAGTGACATAATATAAATGGAATCGGAATGACACCCCAACAAAGAATGCAGTTGAAAATATCAAATTTGGCTTAATTTTGGGCTTCAACTAGTTAGCAAACAAGTATTATACAACAGAAAGCTCAGTCGTTACTCGAACTTGAACATTCAGTCTGCAACTACAATTCTAAGCCTTAATAATTTGGGTTTTTAAGTGCCCTCTTCCCAAGAAAAGAAATTGTCACATTATTTTCTTCTATTTCTCTCTGTCCCTTCTGCTTAAGGGGTAGGGGGAATGAATTTCCAAAATTTAGGAGGGCTAATTGCTATACAATCTCAACATGCAACTTTAAAGCACACTTTCCCAGTCGAAGGTTCCTTTCTTGTTGGTCAAGAGGGACTCTGCTCCTATCTGCAAGAAATAATTTACTTCCAAAAGCCAAATCTGTCCAAGGCGAAAGTGGTTGGGGATTTAGAGAAATGGAAGGAAAGCCATCAGCAGACAGCCTGGAATCCATATAGAAACTTTTTCTATGGATGATGAAGATTTTGATGGACTTGCTGCTGTTGTGTTAATCGCAGCAGTTAAGTTGCTCCTGTTGAATTTGTGAAGCAAGTCGAAGTAAAGATCAACTAGGGACAAGTATAAAATGAAATGGTTAATTGAACGATCGACTTACCCAAGTGTCATATATAAACAGTTGTCATAGCCTGCAGCAGAACAAGAAAGTTTAAATTAATTTTTCATGTGTTCTACAAGAGAATGACGCAGAATGGGCTTAACATTCTCCCAGCAGACAAGTTGGGATATCGTATAGCTGTGATTAAGATGTTATAGAGCAATCACGAGAAATCACGTTTCACGATAAACTTGTAATTAGACAATCATCGTAGGATGCAGTTGAAATAAAATCTCATTCACTTTATACTCAGTTACTGTATGTTAACATTTACATGAACCATCTTATGTATGATTCCAGGCATTCTCCTTGTGCGTCTGTTTTCCAAGTGGATGAATGACTGGGAATATAATTTTAACACTTATACGATGTGTATAATATGTTCGTAGATGTCAAATTATGTGATGTATGGTAAAGTTCATATATGTCGAAATATGTCAATGAATGCATATGTATATGTACAATTTAGTTGTCAAGTACTCGTTTTCCACAGAAATTAAGTTATGCAGAGAAACAATGCCAACACATACTGTGCATTATCAGAAGGTGGATATTTGATAACATACTTGGATTCTTGTTTGTTCTGACCCCTGCTCCTCCAAAACTGCAAGCTATATCAGTAGCTCCATTCTGCTGGTAGTAACTGTTGAATGCAAAGGATGAATGAGATGCCAGGCTATCGGGCTCGAAGCAAGGCTGGCTCGGCTGAATAGCCGAGCAGTCCACATTTCCAGAACCACAAGCCCAATCGAGGCCCTTTCTAAGATCATCTTCAGAAGCAGTAGATGAGGCAATGCACCATGTTCCATTTGAACTGGTGATGTTAGAATTTGTAGTTGTGTCCAAAGAACCTCTTCCTGTGAAGTCAAGGTTATAAACACTTGTCTGGTCAGGAAAAAACAAGCCCCAGTTCCTCTCAGATTCTAAACCAGGTTTCCTGTTCTCATTGAACAATGAAAAGATGTAAACATCTATTTCCTCCCCTGGCTTAGTAGGAGTACCAGTATCATTTATGACATGACGGACCAAATTAGTGTTGTAAGTTTGTGCATTATCTGGACTAGCAGCAGTCTCCTTGGGGGATCCTTTAGAAGGCCATCCTGTCTCAGTTACCATAATTTTAATTGTTCGAAAATTCAAAGCCATTAAGGCAAAATAAATTGCATCAATTTGCGCATCAAACATATTTGTATAAAGCAAACCAGTGTTTGGATCAATAACTTCAGAAGATGACTCAAATAGAGCATAGTCTAGGGACACATTGCTGGAGGAATCTCCATAGGCATAATAAGGGTATATGTCTACCATAAAAGGTGACTGATTCTCGACAAGAAAATCTAACATGGGTTTTAGAAAGAAAGCATGGCTACTGTTAAAAGCCCCTGCAGAGGGTGGGAATGATCGGGACAAAATACCCAAAGAATGGGTACTCGAGATTTTGATCTTCCTATGAAGGCCGGCTTTTCTTAGAGCTGTGAAAATGTTTCGCATAGCAGGAACTACCAATGCTGAGACATTGCTGGAGGCTTCAGTAACTTCAGCACCAACAGTAATATATGTGATTTTGGTGGCTGGATAGTAAGGGAGAATGCTATTTTTCAACCATGTATCGGCATTTGATTGAAATTGAGCAAATGGTAACAAGTCTAAGTTGGAGATCCCAATCATGAGCTCGATTCCAGTATTTGCAAATGCTTTGAGAACCTGAATGTTGGAATCATATATTCGCACATTTTTAATGTTGTGAAGTTGGATAAGTTGTACAACTTTATCAGGGGTAGGTAGATCATCAGCATTTCTTCCATAACACACTCCAACAGTGCTGCCTCTGCAGATACCTATTGCATAAGTTGACATGGTTTAGCAGTGTAAGTCATAATGCCATAATGATCTCAAAACATTGTTCTGCAAATATCATTACATGTCAACTCATTTATCATTTGTTGGCTATAGAGGCATGTTTGAGCATAGGGTTTGTTTTCATCTAGAGATTAAAATGAGTGCCTATAACATATGTTCATGAATGTTTTGCTAAGAGCCCAAGTTCATATTCTTCTACACATTAATAGGTAATATGATACTCAATGCTGAGCACAAACTTAAAGCTCAATGCCTGCTTTTAAGTTATAACATGAAGAGAGAACTTATAAGCTCATCTCAACATTCCAAGTTTGATACTGTTGACAACAGCTTTAAACATAACATGCATAGGCCTAATAGATGGAACTCAAACAAATAGGTCCACGATCAGCTATTCCGACACAAAGATATATACGCATAAGGGGGCGGATAAGCAACTCAAACGAATCACCTACGTAATATAAGAACAAAAGGGAGAAGATTAGGTAGGTGGCCTAATCATCCACACCTCAGGTGAGATGAATGGAGGACTGAGCGACCGACCATTACTCACTTATATAACCAACAGCTTGATATGCATGTTGAATTACATACAGCCTAGAGCGAGTTTGATAAGCAGGTCCCCAGGTCCAATGAAATTTGAGTTTACTGAAAGAAATTGACCATCTTTGAAGAAGCAAAAGCAAAATTATTATCTCAAGCATCTTCCACTTCACAAGAAGCTGCAAATCTCTTAAACCGCAATAGAATGAAGCTTAGCCGTCGATGAAACTTAGCAGGGTTACGAAGAGATGCAAATTAGGCACAACAGATTAATTAGAGAATCACAAACCATCAATCTCATAATCAATATATGGTATATTTGGTAGGGACGACTGGGTTGGACTAGAGAGTCTTAAGAAAGAATACGAAACTAAAATCTTGTTTATTACACCGTTTAGCTTGACTCGTATTCCATTATCTCAGCAATAATGAGCCAAGCTAGTATTTGCAGTGAAACCTCCGTCCTTCATTATGAGTACGGAATCATTCCCAAAGATCTCAAATAGGTACTTAAACATGCTCGGGCTCCTACCTAGTTTGCGAGAACTTTACCTACTGGACTTGGATGCTTCTATGTATCTAAATACATTTCCTATTTCAAAGAAAAAAAACACATTTTCATGCTATGTTATACACAATACATTCATTAGAGTAAATCACTACAACAATGTTTTGTACTACAGGTACAACCAAATCATGCTCTCATGCACTAATGTTTATTAATAAAGCCAGAACATGGTTTACAGACAGAGACAATGGAGAAAAAGACCCAAAGATAAAAAGCAAATGCTGACATTAGATTTACCTAACAAGAAAGGAAGATCAAATAGAATATTGCTGGTTTAAGCTAAATAAAACATAGTAAAATATTATAAATCTTGAACACATACATTCATCAGAAGCCCAAAACAGAAGCAAAGATAGGATCATAATAATCAAACATTTTTAAGGTAAAAAGTTAACATTAACCTTGACCAAGACTACTACTATTTTAAAGTAAAAAACCTTAAAATCCCATAAAAAATACTCCATAACTTAAAACTTCAAACAATAAAACACTGTCAATGGAATGTGGGTACATACCACAAAGCATTAGAAGCAAAAAACAATCAAAGAAGACTCTGAATCCACTTCCCATATGCTCTCCAGTAGTATAGCAGAATGAATGATCTTCCTCCTCACTTCCTCTACGAAATTCAAACTTTATACTATTTTTCTTCAGATTTTGAAAGCAATTACTTTATTTTTCTGTAACGTCCCTTTTCTCTAGCAATTGCAACGTCTTTTTTTCTGGAGAAAAAGGGGGAGGACCAAGTTACCGTGTCTTTGTATGTGTGTCGGGCATAATGTGTCAGCAAGGCAGTGTTTGGGTCCGGACTTGAGAGAGTTTGTATGATGTATGAAATGGAGTTGAGAGTTGTCTCGATTCCGCAACTTTTAAGCTATTTGGAGCACATTGGGATGTCTTGTCTGGGTTACAGTATTCTGTTCTCCACAAACATACCATTAATAATTCGAATCTCTAATGGTCAAGATTATGAGGGAATTGTTGGGGGAAACTATTCCAACTTTTTTTATTTCTCTTTCTCAAAAGCATTTTCATTTTCACCTACAATAAGGCAATCCAGATTCCAGGGTACACAACAAAAAATAAACAATATTATTTGAAGGTGAAAAGTAACCAAATTTAACTTCACTTATTAATTTAAAAATAACAATGTTCTCCCAAGATTCATTGTTGAAAAAATCGTCCACACATTACATTTTTAGCATATATATCCACATTTCAACCTCTTCTTGTGCAAAAACGATCATTTCCATCAGTTGTATCTAATTTGTCTGTTAAGTGATGTCATGTTTTGCACGCGACAGAATTTACAAGGGCAAAAATATCAATTCACTTAGCCCTTATTATTTAATTTAATAACAATAGTAATTTTGATAAAAGTTGGTGAAGTAAGTGAATAAAAGTTGATAAAAATTGAGAAATCCATGAAATGTGCGATTGAAATTGAATTTGGAGAAAAAAATGAGGTTTAAGAAATGAGATCCAAATAGATATCTAATTACATTGGGAAAAATTCATGGATCAGACATTATCTATCATGAAATAAAAAATCAGGCCCTAATGTTTAGAATTGCAAAAATCAAGCCCTAATTAATTATATTTTACAATTAATCTATTAAGTTAAATATTTAGCTGTAATATAATATAATTAATTCACCCCACTCCACCCCACCTCCACCACCACCAGCACTGCTCCTACGACTACTCTAGCAACTGTTCTCCGGCCACGCTTAATTCCGACGACCATTTTCAGTGACCGTTGGCCGCCGCTTAATTCCGGTAACTGTTCCGATTCCAAGGTCACAGATATCTTATTAAATAGTTAAAAATTGAATTTTGGGTCATAGATCAAAAAAATTATATGTCACATGTCACGTATTTTCAAATTTGTGGGTCACAGATTTCTTTTTTAGTTACAAATTATCAATTTTAAAGTCACGGTTCAATAGCTAGGTCACAGACAAAAAAACCACCACCAGTTCAATAGCTAGGTCACAAACACCAGAAAAAACCACCACAGTTCAATAGCTAGGTCACAAACACCAGAATAAACCACCACAATTCAATAGCTAAGTTACAGACATCAGGAAAAATCACTATAGTTCAATAACTAGGTCACAGACACCAAAAAAATCACCACAATTCAATAGCTAGGTCACAGACCAAAAAATAAAAAACCACCACCACACGACCATCACCACAGATCCACCACCTCCACAACCACACATCCCCAGTTGCAGGCTAAACAACAATAAACCCAACTTTAATTAGCTACTGAACACTTATATACAAAACATACAAAGCACAAACACCATCACACTCTACCTCAGCCACCACAAACGCCGGAAGCAGCGCCCAACGCTGCTGCATCCTAGCAATGTCGCGCTGTTGTGCAGTACAGCAGGGACGCTGCTGCGACACACAGCGGCGCAGCAGCGTCGCCCTGCTATGTCCCACAACAACGACACTGCAGCGCTGCTGTCGCACATCTAAGAGAGGGGAGACGAGAGAATGGGGAAGGGGGAGGAGAGAAGTGAGGGAAGGGAGAAGACCCAGATCTGGCCGACGTCGTGGCGGTGAAGGCGGCGGGAGAGAGAAGGGGAAGGGGAAGGGGAAGGGGAAGGGGAGGGGAGGGACGAAATGGCAGAGGAGGAGGGAAGGGGAGACGGAAGGGAGGAGGAGAGGGGAGGAATAGGATTTGGGAATTGAAATTTGGGGTTGGGGTTGGGGGTGTGTGTATATTTAATTAATTTAAAATATTATTATTAATATTAATTGTGAAATTAAAACTTGATTTTTGATTAAATAAA